AGCACAGGCATATTGTGCATAGGGTTGCTGAGAGGCAGGTGACTTGATGGCACATAACAACAACAAAAATATATATTCATGTATGGGAAGTCAAACTTTGTACCAAACATTATATGAAAACCCTTGTTCAGGAATTGAAGGAATTACAGATTTATAAGTTAGAATTTCTCTTGTGGCAGATCCCAGAAAATGAGCTGTTCCCTGCAGACAGGAGACAGGTAGGGCCCCCCTACAGAGGGAGTGTTACTTCCTAGGAAATACTTCCTGAGCTGGAGCATTAGGTTGACAATAGAGAAAAATTCGCCTTCATTTACAAGGAATTCCTTTTGTTATTTGCTTCCCCAGATTATCAATAAATACACAGAGAAACATGACTTGGGGTCTTCAGTGGAGAACTTCTGCCCCCCTGTTTTATGCTCTCTGCTCTCATTCCTGGCTGTTTGTCTCATTATTAATAATTATAAAATTATTCCATCATTTGGGACCCTCAGTCTGCAACACTGAAGAATTGTCTGGGGAGAGTTGAGGTTTTCCAGAAACTGGCCCACTTTGGTAGGGTTATGGAACTGAGTCCTTCAAGATGAAGGACTGGGCCAGTGAGCACCACTTATTATGGGATAGTGTGCATGTATAGGCTCTGCAGAAGCCAGTTTGAGTCCTGTTCCAGCTGAATGCTCTCTGCTGCCATTAAAGGAAGGTCATTCAGCCGTTGGAGGACGGGCAACTGTGCATGCTTAAGGAATCAGTTTAAACTGGTTCTGCCAGGAAAGCAACTTAACTAGAATTAAGTGTTCAACAGGCTGTGGGCATGTTTTATTAGGAGGAGCATCCACTTTGTAGTTTTCTGAGCTGACACACGCTCTCCCTGAGACCTGTCCTGGGCAGCCCTGCCTCACCCTTTGAATGGACTTAAACCACCAACCTTTTAGACAACGCTCAAGCACTCACCTGCTCACATCACCAGGAACTCAAAATGCTGCTCTAAAACCCCAACCCACTTGTGTCTGCTTGATTCCGACTCAGGAATGCCAGAGAAGAGAGTAAAGTACCCGCAGGTTTCCAAGACTCTGATCTTGTAAACTGAGTGCCAGAGCTTTCTCTCAAGTGGAAGCTGGTGGACTTGACCAGCTGACCTGGTTAGCAGCCTAGGGCTTGACCATCACCAGGGTTTCTCAACATCCCACAAGGGCCCTCCATGCATTGATTTAAGTCTTTACTTAGAACATGTCCAAGGAACTGGCATAGCCCCTGGAATTGCCAAACTCTCCTGGGATGGGAGGTGTTTGCTTAAGACAGATTTGGAAGCAGGAGTGGTATCCACTTCCTAAACAACATACCTTTAGAAACTATCAACTTAGAGAAACACGGTAGTTATAGAACAGGGTTCAGGTCTTTTGTTCATACTGTCACTATGAGTCATGCTCTACTCATAACTCGAGGACACTTCACAACAATGTCCCTGTTATTGTTCCTTTGTGTTGATAAAATAAGTTTTTATGGAATGGATGGGTTTTACCTGGCCTTAAGCCAGACTAATAGCGAGCCCTTTGCCCTGATCCCTCTTTCTGGCCCAAAGGGCAGTCCTCTGAGGACTCTGAGTTCCTAGCTGAGCAGAAGCCCAGCAGAAGCCCAGCGACCAGGAGGACATGTAGGACTGCTGGGCTGGGAAGGGAGGGCAGTGGGTGAACCACCATCCCTGATACACAGGCTGAATTATGCTTCACTCTGCACACTACCCTCTGGTGGTGGTATTCTCAGGTGCCACCAGCTCATTGAGGTGTGACAGAGGAGGAACGCCCCACCAGTCTTTCTAGGTTGCACGTTCTACCTGAGCAGAAGGGCAGGTCTTCCCGGATTTCAGATGGCAAGGCCTTCTAGTTAACAGCTGATGGCGCTGCGGGCACCAGAACTGAAACCACCACCACCTCAAATCAGCCGTGGTCTGGACTCACAGCTGACACTCCATTGGGTGATTGTCCGTCTTACTCTCACGGAGCCACTGGTGGACTCGAACCTTAGAGGCGCGGCCTTTGTACAGAATGTAGGGAGAGGGCCCCACCGGGCAAGTAGGGAGCAGATGGTCACAGCCAGGGTTGAAAAGCTGAGCTTTCTGACGTCAGCGCCGAGGAACAAGACATTCCAGGGTTTGGGGGTTTTGTGTTTGGGGCCCATCTCGACCTGGGAATAAAGGTTTTCCGGCCAAGAGATTGTACGTCTTGCATTCTGTGTCCAAATGAAGCTGCGTCAAGAGTTCACGGCTGGTTTCGTTGCTGGAAACCAGTCAGAAAAGACCATGACGTCCAACCTCTGGAACCCAGAGGCCTGGGGCCGGTTCTTCTCTGTCCAGACGAGGAGCATGTGCCCCCACCCCCGTGGCTTCAGCTCGAGTACCGCGTGGGAGGCCATACGGCAGGGGCGAGGGACACGGAGGGTCATGGGAGGCCGGGGCTGGAGGGAGGGGGGGGGTGTTCCCGAGGACGCGCGGTGGGTCTCTGGAACCACAGGGCGCGGGGCAGTGGCGGGAGTGGGGCACAGTGAGTCCCGGGCAATGCGAGGAGAGCGGGGTTCTGGGCGACCGCTGAGTGCGAGGGGGCGCTGGGGTCCCTGGGGACCGGAGGGCTCGGGGACTTAGGGTGTCCTGGGACTCGAGGGGAGCGGGGGGCTTGGGTGTTCCAGGGAATGCAGGACCCCAGTGGCTCGGGGATCTCGGGGACTGTAGGGCGCAGGGGAGGCAGGCTGGGGTGGGCCCAGGGACCGCAGGACTCGGGGGCGAAGGGGTGTCCCGGGGACCGCAGAGCCCGAGCGACCGTTCACCTGCAGAACTGTGGGAGGTGGGGCGGCACGGGGAGTCCCGGGGGCTCAGAAAGCGGCGGCCTCCACCTGCAAGAGGTGCGGGGGAGCGCGGGGATCCTGGAGGCGCAGCTGCGCGGCGGGTTCCACCTGCAGGAGGTGCGGGGGTCCTGGGGTCCGAGGAGGTGGCGCGGGGCTCCCGGGGGCCGCAGGACGCGGCGGACTCGACCTGCAGACCTGCGGGAGGTGCGGGCACCTCGAGGCGTGGGAGTCCCGGGGTGCGCAAGGCGCGGCAAGCGTCCACCTGCGGACCTGCGGGGGGGGGGGCAGGGATCCCAGGAACGCAGGTCACGGCGCCCTCCACCTGCGAGAGGTAGGGGGGTCCTGGGGCCGCAGGGCACGGCGGGCGTCCACCTGCGGACCTGCGGCAGAAGCAGGCACCACAAGGAGCCAGGGCGCGGGTTGGGGGGCTCAACCTGGAGACCTGCAGGATGTGCAGACACTACGGGGCGCAGGCGTCCTGGGGAGCGCAGGGCGCGGCGCGCTCTACCTGCGGGAGGTGCGGGGGACCAGGAGACGCAGGGCGCGGCGAGCTCCACCTGCGGACCTGCGGGAGGTGCGGGCGCGGGCAGGTGGGCGGGGCGCCGTGGGGTAAGCAGGAAGTGAAGGAGGGCCGTCCCGGGAGGAAGCCACCAGGCGAGCGCGGCTGTCGGCAGGCCCTGGCTGCTCAGAGACATGGTGAGCGGACGGGGGGTGCCGCGGAAGGCCTCCTTGACGAGGCCCCCGGGGCGCGGGCGGGGGATCCGCGCTGGGGCGCTTGCGGGGTCTGAGGGCTGGGCGGCGCCGCCCAAGTTCTGACAGCTCAACTGCCGTCACCTCTCTCTCCGCGCAGCCCTCGCTCATCTCCCGACCGTCGGGGCAGTGGGGGTCCAAGCCCGGGGCTGGGGCCTCGGCCGGCCCCCACCCGCCTCCAGGCCGGGCCGGGGTGTGACGCTCGCCACCCGGTAGCACCTCTGCTATTTCCACTTTGACTTCCAGCCAGGGGCAGGCTCCTTCCCTCCCCCTCGCCTTTTCTTTTTCTCCAAACAAAACCCCCAAAGTTTGTCTTCTGAGCCTAAGGAACTTTCCTCTCCATACACAGGGGAGTTGAGGGGCTGTGAAGAAGCCAGAGGCGGCCTCTCGGGGGTCCAGTTCTGGCACGCCACCCCCATCCCGGCCTGGTTCCGGAGGTGGGAACGGCGGGAGAAGTTTCATGCTTTCCCCTCCTTGTTCAAAAACCTTATCGAGAGGCCCGGAGGTCCCCGCAGGCGGGGAGGGCGCCCCGACTCCCCAGCTGGCGGGGAGCTCAGTATCTCCTCGAGCAGAGCAGGCCACAGCCTGGCGGGCACGGAGCTGAGAGGTGGAGAAAGCAGAAGTTTGTGGCCCAACCAACCGCCTGTGGCTGTGGCGCCTGGTGGGGCCCGGCTGCCCAGGGCCTGAGTCACCGCGGGGGAACTCGGGCCCAAGCAGGGGCGCCCCACCACGGCGGGGGAGACGCTGGGCTGGGCCGACGCCGGTACCTTCCTTCTGGCCTCCTCAGTTGTGTTTATTGCATCTTGTTGAGCGTATACGCTGCAAAACACGCTCAGCAGTTCCTGTAGGACGATTTATTGAAGTTGATTACATTCTTGGAGTTGAGCGAGAACTCTTGCTTGTTACTCCCTCTGTAACATAAACTGACAGCCTCTAACCGAAAACTTACTGTCATCAAATTGGGCCTGACTTCTGAGGAGCCTCGTTTGGGCTTCCAGGACGTTAAGTCAAAATGGGAAGAGCCTCATCCTCCTCGGGGCTTGCCTGGGGGGTCCAAGCTGCCGGCCTTTTTGGTTTACAGCCCCACGATTGAGCTCTGGCCACTGGGTTGCCCCGTCTGCCCTCTAAGGTTCCTCTCTAAATGTTTAGTGTTGTCAGTTGGATCCGTGTGGTTCTTACAAGAGCATAAAGCTAATGTCCTTTCTTTTTTGCGCTAGTGAAGCAAATCTCTCCTTAGGTTTTAAGATGACTTCAGAGATATTTTTGGTTTAAAAGGCTTAAAGATTATCTCAGGATAATACTTTTTTTTGAGGTTTATTCACTTTTTCTGGCTCCAGAAAGTCTAGAGTCTGAGAATTTGGAATTTGAGAAGCAGACACTTTTATGAGGGCCCCCTGCGGGATCAACAAAGTGCAGGAATGGCCCTGGGACCCAGTCAGTGGTGGGTTCTGTGCTGCACAAGGGGCGTCTGGGTATGCTGGCTCTGCTGTCTCCTCTGCCCATCTCCAAGGGGCCAGGATCGGATGAAAGGGGTGAAGCAATGTCCTTCCTGTCAGGAGCCCCTAGAATGTAGACACGAATCCGCTCTGATCGGCTTCAGTCTCCCATTCTGGGACTTATAAACACCTGTATTTCTGATTACTCAAGCAACACACGAAGCCTCCTCTTTGGAACACAATTGAGGCGTTACCAAAAGCTCCAGTGGCCTGGGCCGCCTCCTTCCAGCCTTGGGCCTCACTAACCCCTGCGTCTACCTAGGAGGAGGCCAGTGGAGGTGGAGGAAATGACCGGGTGCGCAACCTACAAAGTGAGGTTGAGGGGGTCAAGAATATCATGACCCAGAATGTGGAGCGGATCCTGGCCCGAGGAGAAAACTTGGACCATCTCCGCAACAAGACAGAGGACCTGGAAGCCACGGTGAGCCCACGAGCCCCTGGGGCTGGCGGGAGGGAAGAAGGGCTGTGGGTAGAGGACAAAGAAGAGCAGGGGGTCCAGGAACCTGGCGGTTTTAGTGTCTTTTCATGGGCTGTGGACGTTGGTGTTAGCCAAGTCCCCACTCTCTTCTGCTCTTCCATACCACATGGTGCCCAGGGCATGGGTGTAGGGGAGGTGACCCACATGGCTTCAGAGGCAGACCAGGCAGCTGGCTTGGCCCCTTCACTTGAGGCTTCTCTCCACTGAAGGTCTTCCCTTTGAAGACCACCCTTGACAATCATTTGAACCTGATTGCTCCAGGTCAAAAATGTGGGGTTCTGGGGTGATCCTCCTGGACCTTGCTCTAGCAGTTAGTGGATGAACAGAAACTGCTGGAAACTTGCTGAGTCAGCTTCACAGAAGAGCTGGACAAGCCGTGAACTCCTTTGATCCCAGGGTCCCCTGCCAGCTAAAGGCTAAAATAATATCTCCCACACATCTTGCCAGGCCTCATTCTTCTCTCCCCAGCCAGGGGTTGAGGTCAGATGCTTAGGGAGGGAACATCTCCAAGTTTAGCACAAGCTGCAGTCTCAGGTTCTGTGTTCAGCAGAGAGAAGGAGAGACAGAAACAGAGGGAGAGACTGACAGACAGACAGACAGAGACATATGGGCTCTGGCTTTTCAATCCTGAGGTTAATCTTGGAAAGAGTGCCTTTGAGTTCCTGGAACTTAGCTTTTCCTCATGGCACCTAAACTGGCCCATAGCACCTGTGGGGTAAAGAAGCCATGGAGTCAAGGAGGTGTATTTACCTAGATGCTAGACTTAGTGCCTTCCCCTGGCCCTGCCTTCCTGAGGGCTGTCCTGTCAGAAGGTCCACTGTGTGGTTTACAGTGCCCAGGGTAAGGAGAGGAGAGGGCAAGCTGGGAGCCAGGGGCTCAGGGGCCTGGCATGTTTGAGTGGGGAACTCTCCAAAGGCCAACAATGTTATGTTTGGTGCTGGGTTGTTACGATGGTGTGCTATCAGGGCGGGAGGACAAACTGGAAGGAAGGTTTTCACTGCTCTGGTGGGAGGTGGCCCTGACTCACTCACTCTCCTCTGCCCACAACAGTCAGAGCACTTCAAGACAACATCACAGAAAGTGGCCCGGAAGTTCTGGTGGAAGAACGTGAAGATGATTGTGATCATCTGTGTGGTTGTTTTCATCATCATCCTCTTCATTGTGCTCTTTGCCACCGGGGTCATCCCTTCTTAGGGACACGCCCACCCTGTCCTTCTCCTAGGGATCCCAGAGGGCCCCCCTCCCACTCTCCTCCACAGAGATGCTGCTCACCTTGTCCTCGGGCTCTGGGCCTGAGGACCCTCTTCACACTGACCACGCCTGGGGGCACCTTGGCGCCCCGGGAAGAGAGAACTGGACCGTGGCTGTTTCATCGGTCCTTAGCGTGGGTCGGAGAGACCCCCTAAGGGCCCAGAACCAGGCTGGGGAACTGTTGGTGGCTGGGGGGTGGGTGGGCAATAAAGGCCTTTCGGTGTCTGTGTGTGTGTGAGTGTGTGTGTACGTGTGCACACGTGGATATGTTTCTCTCTTTCTGTGTTACTTTTAGCCCTTCTATTTCTTTTCTTCCTGAGAACACACTGTGCTTAAGGCTCTGTCATTTGAGATCTAGGCAGTTGGAGGGAGTGGAGTGCTTATGTTGGGAGAAGATAAAGCCTCCCTGTACTTCCTTCCACCAGCACCCCTTGTTGTGTACCATCATATCAGATCTGACTGGCACAGGAGAAGATTTCCCATCCTTCTCAAGTTAAGTATCTGGTGGATTCAAACCATGCGCCTTTGGGATTGCAGTACAGCTTCTTGCCACTAGGCCACCACTCTGTTGTCCCTGTACATCTTTGCTCCTTCTTGGTCCAACTCAGTCATCACAGGTCTTATGAGCAAGGCTTTTGTAGGGTCTTGACATATAACAAAAAGCATCATAGCCATTTAGTGTGACATGAGAGACATGTAAATGTCCCCAGCAGATCCCACCATGTCCCTTTTCTACTTCTCTGTGGGAAGTGTTAAACAAATATGAAGCCTGTTTGGCAAATACATGCAACGCATTTAGGGATCTGGTCTCCTGACCCAGGTCATGTTGAAGTCTCGAACCAGGTGCTAGAGGAACTAGACAGTTTTTCCTTTTCTTGGGCTCCAAGTTCTGTTTGCCACCTGTCCTGACCTTGGAGAAAGTGCAGCCAGGGTGCTTCTTAGACACTAGGATGGCAAAACTTCATCTCACATATTTTGGACATGTCTTAGGAGAGGCCATTCCTTGGAGAGGGACATCATGCTTGGAAAGTTGGAGAGTCAAGAAGATCCTCAACCAGATGGGTTGACACAGTGACTGCAGCAAAGGGCTCAAGTGTGCCAGAGATAATAAGGATGGTGCAGGATACAAGGTTCATATCTGTTTTTCACAGGGTCACTGTGAATCACATTTGACTTGATGGCACCAAACAATATCAGGATCTGAGGAAGACTCAACAGCTAACACTATGCAGATGACACAAACTTGCTTGCTGAAAGTGAGGAGGACTTGAAATACTTTCTGAAAAAGTTCCAAAACTATAGCCTTCAGCATAGGTTACAGCTCTACGTCAAGAAAACAAAGGTCCTCGGGGGCACTGGTGGCCTAGTGACAAGAATCTGCACTGCAATCCCAAAGGCATGCAGGTGGAATCCACCAACTGCTCCACAGGAGAAGGATGGGCAGTCTCCTCCCATGCAATTAACTGCCTCTGATAACCGTGGAGGGACAGCTGTGGGTTGGTTCTGACTCAACGGCGCACAACAACAAAAAACAAAGATCCTCACCACAAGACCAACAGTCAACATCATAATCGAGAAAAGACTGAAACTGTCAGTGATTTCATCTTCCTGGATCAACAACCAACACCCTTGCTACCAGCAGTCAGGAAATCAGGAGACTTACTACTGCACTGGGCAAGTCCGCAGTCAGGGACCTCTCCAAAATACCTGAAAGCAATGAGTCAGTTTGAAGATTAAGGTGCGCCTGATTCAAGCCATGATCTTTTTATCACTTGCTATGCATCAGAGAGCTGGACAGTGAGTGAATAGGGATGACAGAAGAAGAATCGATGCCTTTGCGCTGTGGTGAAGAGTACTGACTACCCCATAGATAGGCAAAAGAACAGATATGTCTTGGAGAAAGTGCAGCCAGAGTGCTCCTTGGAGGCAAAGATGGCAGCTTCATCTGTCATACTTAGGACATGTTGCTAGGAGATGTTATTCCTTGGAAAGGGACATCATGCTTGGGAAGTTGAAGGGTCACTGAAGGAGAGGAAGACCCCCCAAAATGGATAGTAATGGGCTCTTGTGTGTCAGAGCTAATGAAGGCACGGGATAGGACAGATCTGTTTTTCATACTTGACTCAATGGCACCTAAGAACAACAGCAACTAGGTCTTAGCTGTCTAGAGGGATGAGCTCACTTCCTCACATCCAACAGCAGTTGGCGTCACAGGACGGGGCCTGAGACCCTCCAATCCACACACAACAGGCCTCTGTCTTTGCGCCTCCCTCCTCCCACCTTGTTGCACAGCCATTCTCACATTTCCCAGGGCCTGGTCTGCTGTCATCTGGAGGAGCAGTCTCGCTATTGTGTCCTGAGCCTTTTTTCCCCACCCTCTTTTCCTCCTCCTCCCCCCAACCCCATTTTGGGCAGGAAGTGGGGGAAGAACAGGCTCAGGCCAGATCTGGGGCTAGTACTGGTAGATCAGGTTCTGGAACCTGCAAAGGGGAAAGTGCAGAGGTAAAGGGCAGTCTCTACCACAACTATACCCAAATTCCCCCTCTCAGCCCACTCCTGGATTTGAGAGACAAAGAAACAAGCGTTAAGTCTCAGTCCTTTTCCTCAAGATGGAAAGGGGCCTTCATTCAGGAAGTGGGTGGGGACAGGCAGCTGTTGAGAGGAAGGCTCTGGAGTGACAGAGTCGCCAGGCTGGGCCCTTCCTCCCTGGAGAAGCAGAGCCCGCCCAGAGAAAGGCTTCCTTAGTAAAATGAAAAAGGCATTTCCGCAGAAGAGCTGGAGCCAACACCTTCCTCATGGGGCCCTTGAGCCAACCCCATGTATCAGTGTAGCACTGCTCCTCAGGGAAGCACATCCCAGACTTTATTCCCCCTCACACTATCACTGAAGGAGGCCTAGCCACCAACCTCCAGGAGACTAGATGGCATGAAGAACACCAACCATTGTGCCACCGGGGACCTCGCCTGCTTTGCTGTTTGAGGCGTTGAGTCAGTTAACTCATAGCGACACATATGCAACAGAATGGAGTCCCATGTCCCTGCACTTCTCACAGATGCTTGTGTCTGAGTCCTGTGCTGTAGGCCACTGTCAATTCATCTTATTAAGGGCCTTAATTCCCCTTCCCCCTCCCGACAACCTACCTTACCAAGTATGATGTCTCCAGGAGCTGGTCCTTTCTGATAAAATGCCCAAGGAATGTAAGAGGAAGTCTCTCCATTCCCACTTACAAGGAGCATTCTGGCTCTACTTCCAGGTCAGATTTGTTTGTTCTTTGGCAGGCCATGGGATGTTTAACATCCTTTGCCAACATCGTAGTTCAGAGGCCTTCGTTTTTCCTCTGCCTTCCTCACTCATTGTCTGACTGTTCATGTGTTTGACCAGCTCCCATTGCCATCCAGTCTGAACCAGCTCAGAGCTGACTCTGTTAGGTTTCTGGGCTGTTAGATTGACCGGGGCGGAGATTTCCATTTCTCCTGGGAGCTGCTATTTGACTGGAGCCACCAGGAGGTGTTAACAGAACAACTGTATGGATGACACCACCACAACCCCCTAAAACTAGCCCAGCTTGAGTCAGACACACGTCTTAGTCATCCAACTGACTGCTTTCTAACACTTCAAACTCTCGAGTTGAAACAGGCTCATAGCTGACCTCGAAGCAGGCCTTGGAGGCTGTGAATCACGTGGAGGGATGTTATTCATCTAATTCCTGCTGAGACCAGGTGGGTTTGAACCTCCAGGGCGGCTCCACCTTTGGTTCAACAGCACATCTCCCTACAGACTGTGCCACCAGCACTCAATTGTGAACACTGAAGGATGTTACTTGGGGCACATTTACCCTGTGTGATACGTCACTGATTTCTTGAGCATTGACTGTGGATCCAAGGAAAGCTAAATCCTTGACAGTTTCAAATTTTTCTCCATTTGCATGAGGTCCAGTTGTGAGAAGTTGGGTTTTGTTTGGTTGTTCTGTTCCCCCCTCCCCCACACCCAGATATAATGCGGTCAATAACTAAAGGCTGTATAGTCTTTGAGCTTTTTTTAGTTAAGTGCTTCAAATCCTGTTCATGTTCACCAAGGTTCTGTTACTGGCCTGTCACAGGTCTTCCTCTAATACTGATGCTGCATCTTCTCACGTTACTTGCTCACTACACAGATTTAATAAGCATGATAAAAGAATTCAACCCTGGTGTACACATCTCCTGATTTAAAGCCACACAGTATTCCACTCTTTGCCTCTTAGTCTATGCACACATAAGCACAATGAAGCATTCTGGCACTCCCACTCTCCCAGTGGTATCCATATTTTGTTATGATCCCCATGGGTGAAAGCCTTTGTATAGTCAGTAAAGCACAGACAAGCATCAGTCGTCATTATCCAGTGCAGCTGTAACATACACTACAAGTGGATGACTTTCATAAACTCATTTGCTCTGTCAGTTGTTGTTGGGGTGTCAAGTGCTATCAAGTGCACTCCAGCTCGGAGCGACCCTGTGGCCAGCAGACCTGAACCTTGCTCCATCCGGTGCCCTCCTCACAAACTTTTTTTATTATTAATTTTAATGAACATTTACAGATATTTTGGATTTCCATTCATTCATTGTTGCACTTTTCTCCCAGCCCACCCCTACTCCCCAGTTTGCTCCTCTCTTTGAAAAGTAAAGAAAAATTCCTTCATTGATATACAATCCCCACCCCCTAGTACACTCCACTGTGCAACCTTCATTCTGGACTCTTGTGATAACCATAATACCCTATCATATATCGCTTTTAAACTGTTCTCTCCCACATCTGTTTCAATGCAGTATACATAATTTATCCACTTTTTCTCAGTCTCACCCCAACCCTGATGTCAGTCCCATTCTATAAGAGTGGCACCATGCAGTATTACTGTCCTCCAGGGTTACCCATTTTGAATAATATTGCATGAGATCCTTGTTTTTAAATGCAGTGTAGTATTCCATTGTGTGAATATACCACAGCTTCTCTATCCATTCGTTTGTTGATGAGCACTTGGGTTGTTTCCAACTCCTTGTTATTGTGAACAAAGCCACGATAAACATGGGTGTGCACATATCTGCTTGGATGGTGGTTATGATTTCTTTAGGGTGTATTCCCAGTAGTTTAATTCCTGGGTTGAATGGTATCTCTATTTGCAACTTTTTGAGAAAGCACCACACCGCCTTCCACAGTGGTTGCATCATTTTACACTCCCACCAACAGTGAATAAGGGTTCCAGTTTCTCCACAACCTCGCCAGCATTTGTTGCTTGCTGTTCTCTTAAATTTTGCTATTCTGGCTGGGGTGAGATGATATCTCATAGTTGTTTTGACCTCCTCACAATCTTTAGTGTGCTCGGTCTGCTCTTACAGTCACCGCGTCAACCTCTCTTGAGGGTCTTCCTCCTTCTGTGACTCTTCACTGTGCTGCGTGTGATGTCTTTTTCCAGAAGTTTTTTGGAGTGAGGTCTCTGTGCAAAGGAGTCCTCTGACCCCAAGGAGGTCAGGTCACAGAGATTTCCAGGGAACAGTAGGCTTGTGAATGCTGAAGGAAACAAGGAGTTTCTTCCACAACCAAGACAGAAAGAAGCCTTTCCCCTAGAACTGGCCCCCTAAATTTGGGCTTCAATATGAATGAAAGCTCAACATCAAGAAGACAAAGATTCTCACCACTGGGCCAATTGGCAGCACCATGATGGATAGAGATGAGATTGAGGTTGTTAATAGTTACAGCTTTCTCAGCTCCACAATCAACACTCTTGGCACCAGTTGTCAGTAAATCAAAAGAAGAATTGTGTTAGGTAAATCTGCTTTCCAGAGAACTGAGAAGCAACGATGCCACTCTAGAGACTAAGATGCACCTGGTCCAGGCCGTGGTCTTCACAATTATTTGCTATGCATCAGAGAGCTGGACAATAACTAAGGATGACAGAAGAAGAATTGATGCCTCTGAGTTGTGGTGTGTAGAAGAGTCTTGAACGTAACATGTTGTTAAGTGCCGTCAAGTCGCATAGCGACCCTATGAAGGAGAGTCCTCAACACCTGTGTGTCTCTTGTCCTCTCTCCAGGTTCATAGGGTTTCTGGAGGCAAGCTATTACAGAAGTGGATGCCGCTCCTGCTTCCAAGCTTGTTTTAACTGGGGAGTTTCACTCAATACTGTCCGCCATGGGTAACCAACCATTAACACATTTGACACATCAGCGTTACAGTGTTCAGCCTCACAGCAACCACAAGTTACTGCTGTATGGCACATGGACGCACCAGGGCTATACAACCTAGAGAAATGTTTGAACAAAAACAATGAAAGACAGGCCTGAGGGCTGTGAATTAAAATGTACCGTGGACTGACAAAAAACCAAAAAGGTCTGTCTTGGAGCGAGTGAAACCAAGTTTCTGCTCGGAGGCTAGGATTTTGAAGCTCTATCTTACATACTTTGGGCATATGGCCAGGAGAGACTGATCCTTGGAGAAGTACATCATGCTTGGAAGGGTCGAGGGATAGTGCAGGAGAGGAAGACTCCAGACGAGATGGATTGATACAGTGACTTGGGCAATGGGAATAGGTGTGTTGGAGTCAGGGAGACTGACTCAGCACAGGGCAGGCTTTAGAGCTACTATATATAGGGTGGCTATGAGTCACAGGCAACTTGATGGCACATAACAACGACAACAATCAGTCTCCACTGGACTTCATGAAGAAATAACCTGTTCTCTGCAGATGATATACCCTTGCTTGATGAAACTGACAGAGACTTGAAATCCTTGCTACAGAAGATCAAAGACGACAGCTGCAATATGGATTCCATCTCAGCATCAAGAAGACAATACCCACACCACTGGGTCAATAGGCAACATCGTGATAGGTAAAGATTGAAATTGCCAACGACTTCATCATGCAATAATCACCCTTCATCAATAAATCAAAAGATGTATTGCACTGGGAAACTCTGCTGTCAAGGACAAAAATCCTCACCACAAGGCCAATAGGCAACATCATGGTGGATGGAGAGAAGACTGATGTTGTAAACAGTTTCATCTTGCTGGGATCCACAATCAACACACTTGGTACTAGCAGACAAGAAATCAAAAGACACATTGCATGGTGTAACTCTGCTGTCAAGTACATCTCTAAGGTGTTAAGGAGCAATGATGTCATATAAGCCATGATCTTTTCAGTTAATTGTTATGCCTCTGACACTTGGATAATAACTAAGTATGACAGAAGAAGAATTAGTGCCTTGGAGCTGTGGTGCTGGAGAAGAGTACTATATATCCCATGGCCTTCCAAAATAACAAATACATCTTGGAGAAAGTGCTATGAGGGAGCTAAGTACAACCTTGGAGACAAGGATAGTGAAACATTGTCTCATATATTGTGGGTATGTTGTTGGGAAGGGCTGTTCTTTAGAAAGGGACATCATGTTTGAAAAGGTGGGGAGTCAACGAAAAAGAGGAAGACCCTCAGTGGGATGGATTGACAAGTGACTGCAACTATGGGCTTGAGAATGTTAGAGCTGAAGAGGGCTCGGGTCCTCCTGGGTCCAGTTCTTTCTGTTGCTCACCTCTCTTCGAGAAGAGAATGCATATGGACCAGGTAACTTTTCCAAATCTCCTATCCTGTTGAAACATTTCAGCTGGGATTCTTTCCATTCCTGAAGCCAGGGTTTTCAATGCAACTTGGACTGTCTCTTTTAATACCATTGTTTTTGATTACACACTACCTTGCTACCTCCTGAAATGATTGCACATAAACCTCCTGCCCCGAGTCTGTTTTTGGTGAGCTGTTCCTGGGTCCCCAAGCCCACCCGGTCTGGCAGGGGGCTCTGGCAGTGAATGGAGCAGATGCACTGGCTGGTCCCCAGCCGTCCCTTCCACGCTGTGGCTGGCACAGAGTGGGCCACTTTGGCTGGTTTCAAAGTGCACTCCACAGACCACAGACAGGGCCTTGAGGTGTGGTCAGCGTGGAGACCTGGCACTAAGCTTAGCTGCAACCCGAGAGTCTGGAGGGGGAGCCGCGGCGGGCGCAGGTGGTCCAAGGGAGCGCCTCCGCCCCCCCCCACCCCCGCCGTGCACTCAGGTCACTGTCGCCTGCCACTTTCGATTTAACTTTGTCTCTTGTCACTGCTCAACCGCAAGGAAGGCGCGGCCTGCCCCGCCCCTCGGCTTCCTTTCAGTCCCGGCGGCTCCGGAGCGCAGAAAGGACCCGGCGAGGGAGCAGCGGGCGCGGGACGATGGTGAGGCGCGCGGGACGCGGGGAAGCCGGGGCGCAGGCGGGCCACCTGGGGGCCAACCCTCCACTCCCATCCCGCGTGCAGCCTGCGCAAGGGCCAGGCGAGGTGGGGGACACGGGATTTCCCCACCTACACAGGCCGGGGAGGCGGACCCAGGGCTGGAATTCCCGGCCACCTCCCAGCTCCATGACCCCCGCGTGTCACTTAACCTCCCTGAGCCTCCTTTTCCTCGTGTAAAGTGGGGTCAGCAGTACCTGCCTGGCTGGGTTCCTGAGCCACTCAAAGAGCGACAGCGGCAGGGTCCCCCGAGTCCTGGGGCCGCGCTCGCGAGGTGGGGGTAATGCCCTGACCCCGCGCGCCCCGAGCTAAAACCTGAGCCGCCAGCGATGAGGGTCACGCCGGCCAGCTCCTGGCGGGGCGACCCGGGGCGCACTGCTCCCCGGCAGAAAGAGAAAGGAAAAGTGTCGCTGTAAAAGATCCACTGGAGTTACCCGAGCGTGGCACCGGCCTGACGCCTGACCCTACGGGGTGGCACATTCCTGCGTTGAGTCACCCCCTCCTGCCCGTTCCCCCAGGTCCCTACTGCGGACTTGGTTTCTACTCGCCATGTGCAGGCGAAGGGTATCAGGCAAAGCGGGCACCAACCGCACCCCCACCCTTGCCTGGCGGGCTGGTGGAGGCTTGGGGGACAGGCCTGGTTGGGGGTCAGGAATCCTGGATGGCCGCCTCTCCAGGGACTGGAGGCAGGAAGGGGAAGCGGGGCAGGAAGGTAGAGCTGAGCTCCAGGCCCTCCAGGAACCGGAGGGAAATTCAGGACCGAGCCCACCGCACAGTGCTGGCCCTGGGTGCTGGGGGAGCGTGGGGGCGCGGTGTGGGAGGGGGAAGGCGGCTCCTCCGAAGGGTGGCTCAGGCCAGGTTCTTTCTTTGTAACGCCATCCAGGTGCTAAGGTATTGGTGGACCGTGGGCCTCTGGCCAGTGATGGCTCCGAGCGGGGTCAACCCCGACCCTCTGTGCCCAGCCCTTCGCCTTTCTGCCTTCTTTCTTTGCCTTTGCCTCCTCTCTTCATCTTTCCCCTGTCCATGTTCTTCTCATTTTCTCGAGAACTCATTCAATGAACTTCTTTGCTCGCTGCTGTACCATGCTGCAGAGGTGGGGCTAGGATGGGCCCAGATAGCTTAAAAGGTTTGCAGCTGACCACGAGCCTAAAGACCAGCGGTTTGAGCCCTTGCAGAGGCACATGGCAGGAAGGGCTGGAACTCTGCTTCTGAGAGGCCTGAACGCCTGTGGGCAGTTCTGCTCTGTACACCTGGGACTGCTAGGAAGGAGTTGGGATCACCTAAAGCTGTTCATTTAAATTGACCCAAAGGCACCACGGAGGAAAGGCCTGGCAATCTGCTTTTGTACAATTGTTATTGTTGTATACTGTTGGGTCAGAACCGACCCATAACTGACCCACCAGCGGGTTTTTGGGAGACAGTAAATCACATGGGAGGAGATTGCCCATCCTTCTCCCACAGAGAAGCTGGTGGATTTGAACCACATGCCTTTGGGATTGCAGCTCAGTTTCTTATCACCAGGCCACCAGCGCTCCACTAAGGAAACCCTGTGGAGCAAGAATGAGTAAAAGTGGATATTGAGCAATATCCTGAATTCATTCATCCCAGAGATGCCTCTGGCTCCTGCACTGTCTGAAACATCTGCGCTGCAAGCCTGAGCCACCCTCACCTGCACAGAGGTGAAGTCTTTTTTTTTTTTTTTTTTTAGAGGTGAAGTCTTTAGGCATCAGGAAGTCTGGCAAGTCTTCAACCAGTGTGTTAAAGCACTTTACTACCTTTTATCTGCGTTTCATCTTGCACAGCAGTTAGGACTATGATCCCTGAAGTTCAAATTCGAGAACTCAGTGGTTCTGTGACCTTGGGCTTCAGTTTTCCATGAAAGGAGATAATTATACTGTCCTTGGTGTGTTGTTTATGAGGCATAAATGAGATAAAGTGAGTGGACACTGGCTGCATAGTGCTTAGCCCACTCACTGGTGGCTCACAGTGCAAAGCCAGTAGTGCTGGGTGCACGGAAAAGAGGTGCAGGTTCTCTAAGACCTGTGACAAACTCTTGCTTAGGTTAGAAAGAAGAAGAAGAAAGTGTACAGGCTTGCGACAGGGAAGACTTTCCTGCCTCATGGAGGCCTAATGGCTATGTGCTCAGTTGTTAGCCAAAAGGTTGGTCGTTCAAATCCACCAGCTTCTCTGCAGAAGAAAACTACGGCCCCGTGTTCCTGTAAGATCACAGGCCCAGAAACCCCGTGGGCACTTTTACTTTGTGCTGTAGGTTACAATGAATCAGATTCACCTTAGGGGCAGAGGGTCTTTCTGTCCTTGGCTTAGAGAGTCTATAAAGTTATCTAAGAGGTTTTAGTCCACATGACAGAACACTATGCAGTTAGACTTTTAACTCTAGAGGAAACTTGAACTAAATGAATAATAATAGTAATAATAGCTATTGTTTGTTGAACGTTTGATATGTGACAGGCATTTTGCTACACATCTTATTTATAATACATGATATAATCCTGAAACATTTTGAAGTTGATATTATTAATGCTGTTTCAGATGAAAAAATCAGAGTGTCCAAAAGGTCACCCACACCACCCCACCCCCCAGTTTCCTGGTGAGTGACAGAGGCAGGATGGGAACTGACCAGCTCAACCTCTGGGCTCCAAGTGCTGGCCAGGGAGGAGGTGTCCAAACTATGCCCTAGTCCCTCTGAGGATGACAACAGCTGAAAGAGGGTTTCCTGGACTCTGAATGAAAGAGTGGAGATGAACAGAGTTAGCATACAAGGAGGTGTTTGAAAGCTATACTTTCCCAAGAGGAACCAGGGGTATTTAACCTGGAAAAACCTGAGAGGTGATCTGAGCTTCTTAGAAGGGATATTCTGTACATGAGGTAACGAAAGGTCTGTGGGGAACATTTCCTGCGTAACTGCCACCCTCTGCCTGCCAACAGCGCTGCAGCTCTCTCAGAGCCTGGCTCAGAACTGCAAGCCCTCTCACAGGTCTAGGAAATGCCTCTCCCACTCCGGCTTCCTCTACATGCTCTCTACTCCCCTGGCTTCCCTGCTGTCTCCTCTCACACCTATAGATGACACTTCTCCTCTGGTTTACCTCAGCTTTTTTCTCACTTCCCTCTGTGCTTGCCTATCAACAATAACAACATATTCCTGAAGCACTTCCGGTGTCCTTTTGCCTCCACAACTAGTTTGAGCACTTGCCCTGGGGCTCCCGGCTTCTCTCTGACCCTGCCCTGCCCTCCACCCTGACCCTCTCCCAGGCAACCCCAGGTCTCAGCAATCACCTGCTCTATCGGCTGCTGCAACACTTGCTATTTGTATCTCTTTGCTCCTTTCTAGTTGTATCACTTATGTCTCTTTTCCTGAAACAGATTAAAAATAGAAACAAACCAGTTGCTGTTAAGTGGATTCCTCCTTCTGCAAGTGTTTAAAGCTCTGCAGAGTTTTAAATGCCAGACATTGTAAAAGTAGATTGCCACAACTTTCTTCCAAGTGCCTCTGGGTAGCAATTGAGAACTTTATATATTGCATCATCCAGGAACTCCTGAGGAGAGACCGGTCCTTAGAGAGAGACATCATGCTTGGGAGGGTGGAGGGACGGCGCAGGAGAGGAAGGCACTCTATGAGGTGGATTGATTCAGTGACTGGGGTAATTGGGATGGGAGTGTTGGAGACAGTGTGATTGGCACAGGACAGAGCGGAGTTTAGGGCTGTTGTACATAGGGTCGCTATGAGTCGCAGGCGACTCGATGGCACATAACAACAACAACAGGAACTCCTGAGAACAGACACCATTCATTCAGAAAATATTTATCAATGGTTTCTCTGAACCAAAGGAGTCCTAGCAAAATAACAACTAAGTACTCAGTTCCTAACTGAAAATTTGGCTAACCAAATGCATCTGGTACCTCCAAAGAATAAAGAACTAGCTGTCTGTACCTGTAAAGAGCACAGTTTAGAAAATCCCATTGGGGTAAGTTCTCCTGTGTTACATAGAGTTGCAGTGAGTTGATGTCCATTGATGGTACCCAGCACTGTGCTGGGTCAGGCTCTATGCTGAGTTAGTGTGGCTCCTTTTGAGAGCTTACAGTCTTCCACACTCCAAGGTTCTTTAGGTCAGCTGTAGTTGTTGCTGTTGTTAGGTGCCATCGAGACTAGTATGGCCCACAGTGACCCTATGAACAGCAGATCTGAACTACGTCGTGCCCTGTGCCATCTTCACACTCTGTGACATACTCGAGCCCATTGCTGCAGTCACTATGTCAGTCCAGCATTGAGGGTCTTCCTCTTTTCCACTGCCCCTCCACCTTCCCAAGCATGATGTCCCTCTCCTAGGAATAAATTCTCTTAGCAACATGCCCAAAGGATGTGAGATGAAGTGTCCCATCTTTGCCTTCTGGCTGCCCCCTCTCCAAGATACATCTGTTTGTTCTCTTGGCAGTCTGTGGAATATTCAGGACTCTTCACCAACACCACAGCTCAAAGGCATCAATTCTTCTTCTATCATCCTTAAGTCTGTGGTTGTTGGTTGTGTACTATAGAGTCTGAACTAACCCATAGGTGACCCTCCAGTAGGTTTTCAGAGGTATGGGAAGAGACTTCCCATCCTTCTCCCACAGAGCAGCTGGCAACCTCAAAACATGTACCTTTAGGATTGTAGTGTGGCTTCTTGCCAATAGGCCACTTTAGGTCCGTGGTTGAGTGCCATCAAGTGGACCCTATGTACCACAGCACAAAACCCTGCCCTAGCCATTCCCCCCCCCCCATCCCTGCTGTGCTAAGCCCATTGCTGTAGTCACTGCATCAATCTAGCTCACTGAGGAGCTTCCTTTTTTTTCAGGTACCCTCCACCTTTTCTAAGCACGATGTTCTTTGCTGTGAACTGATCACATACCCAAAGTATGTGAGATGAAGTCATACCAGCAAACTTACTTCTAAGGAGCAAACTTCGGCTGCACTTTTTCCAAGACAGACTGTCCTTTAAGCAGTTCATGAGATAGTCAATAGTCTTCATCAACACGACAATTCGAGGGCATCAATTCTTCATTTGTTCTTTATTCATTATCCAATTTTCACATACATACAAGGTGATTGAAAAATACCATGACTTGGGTTTGGTGCACCTTAGTCTTTAAACAGACATCCTTGCTCTTTAGCAACTGAGAACTTTACCCATTGCATCACACAGGAACTTCTGAGAACAGACACCATTCATTCAGAAATTATTTATCAGTGGTTTCTCTGAGCCAAAGGAACTCCAGTGATGTAACCACTAATCAGTCAGTTGCTAACTGAAAGTTTGGCTATTCAATCTAGAGACCAATTTAAAGAGGTCTCAGCAGCAGAATTTCCCACTGCATTATGTTGTTTGGTTTCTTGACTTCCACTTCCATGGATGTTGGTTGTGCACCCCAGTAAAATGCAATCCTTGATAACTTTATCTTAAACATTTTTCCTCTACACATTATACACACACACACACACACACACATTTTGACAATGTTGAGTCAGAACCAATCCATAGCTGACCCTCCAGTGAATTTTTCAGAGGCAGTAAATTGCATGGGAGAAGATTACCAATCTTTCTCTTGCAGAGCTTCTGGTGGATTTGAACCATGTGCCTCTGGGATTACAGGGCAGCTTCTTTCCACTAGGCCACTAGAGTTTCTGAAATCCTTCATAACTTAAATCTTTTCTCCATTTATTACGATATGTTACTTATTGGTCCAGTTGTGGGGATTTTTGTTTTATGCAACCTGGGGACCTTATTTTTCCAAAATATTAGCAAAGATCTCTGCACGCAGTTGGTATTCTTTTTCTTCTGAGTGAGGCCACCCACGGAGGGCCCAGGCTTGGGCTGAGGTCTCTGTATTCCCAGGGTGATTGTATACTTAGGCCTGGGCCCAGCCTGGGCTCCAGCAGGGGGAGCCTCTCTCAGTGGGGACACGCTGGCCAGCCAGCCAGCTCTCCTGGAGAGTGTGACCCGGCATCACCCTTTGTGGGAGAACAAGCCGACAGCTGTGCTGGGAAGAGTACAAAATATCATATCCAGCACCCCCAGTCTCTAACAGCGATGCTCATCTTTTCATCTTTCTGAATTCTTAAATTTTTGCCTTAAATTGTTTTCATGTAGGGAAATCCAAAGGACCAAATAATGGATGGAGCCTTGATGGATACTAGTTATTGTAATTGTGCTGATGTGGCTCAGGGGCTGAAAAAATTCAGACCAAACCTATTCCACTCTCTTGCCCAGACTCAACTCCCAGTAAAGCAGAGAAAGCTCTGGTGGCTTAGTAGTAAGGAGTTGTGCTACCACCCCAAGGGCACATGGTTTGAGTCTACCAGCTGTTCCATGGGAGAAAGATGGACAGTCTCCTCCTGTGTGATTTACTGCCTCTGAAAACCTGCTAGAGGGTCAGCTAGGGGTTGGTTCTGACTCAATGACATACAACAACTACAAAGCAGAGCAGCACTGTGCCAATAGGTTTCCAATGCTGTGTGAGCAGAACCAACTGCATCAGCAGGGTGGTTGGTTGTTTTTTGTTTTTTTGGTTTTTTTTTTTTTTTAGTTTTAATCTTTATGGATGCAGATTAATACACCTCCCTCTTATGGAGCAATGCGTGGGTTCCAACTGTCAGCCTTTTGGTTAGTACCCCTGAGTGCTTTAGCCTCAGTGCCATCAGGGCGTCATGACTCGGGCAAAGGTGGAGAATATGCCTCCGTGCTTTCCCTGCCCCCTTGTCTTCCATTACTGCCCACCTGTGAGCTCACTCACCTTCCCAAGTGGTCTGCCTGTACCCCTCTAAGCAGGCTGCTTTTGGAACTCAAATATGTAAACATTGACATATTTAGGTTACAAATGCCTGCCCCTCTAAACTCCAGCTGGGCTAGATAAACACACTAGGAAAACATTACAAGTTGCTTTTGGATCTGTATTCAGATGGCAGTGGCGAGGGGCGAGGGGCGCTGTCCAGGGGAACGAAGGGGAGAGAGAGTTGTTTTTAGTATCAACAGCTCAAGGTCTATTCCTATGAGAAGAGGCCAGACATGCCCCTATCTTCTAAGCTTTCTACCAGTTCTGACACCACTGTCCCTCGCTTGGCATGCTACTTCCCTTCTGGGCTTGATAATGACTTGAAGTGGCTGTTCAGCACCCACCAACTCTAATCATGGCTCTGGGGTTTATTAGAGAAGTAATGCTACTGTTCAGGCTCAGGAGTGACTCAGGATAAAGGACTTTGGTCGGCCAGCCTCTGCTCAGCCCTGCCCCAGACACACTTCTCTCTGGCACCTGACGCATTGACCAGACTGCTCGCTCTGCTAAGTGTTACAAAGTTCTTTTTGTTCTGCCAGTAGAGTAGTTAGCTACCAGAGGTTCCCAACTCCACCAGCAAGCCTCAGGCTGAAGGAGCTAGGCTCCAGCCTGTGGGTTGCAGGTCTGGCCTCACCCCACTCTGCCAGCAAGCTTCCTGCCTGAGAGCACCGGGCCTCTCTCCCCACTGCCTGGGAAGCCAGCTCTGCCCGCCCAGCCCACTCTGCCATCTGCCACCAGTCCCCTGACACCCAGTCCCCTGATGCAGCTGCTGCCATCCTGTGTGGCTGCTTTTCTTTTTGGCTCCAGTGCTCTCTGGTGTTAGTTTTCTCTCAGAACTGCAGGTCCACAGGACATGCTGCACTCCCCTCTCTTACTGAGGTCCCCAACTCCAATCCTCTTCTGGGATGGCTTGTTTTAAGCCTAGCAGCATGGTTAAACTGACCGACTTCCATGTGATGGTTGTTACGTGCTGTGTCTAGTTGACTACAACTCGTACAGACCCTGTGCACAATAGCTCTGAACCGTGCCTTATCCTGAGTCAATCTCTCTCAGATACATCTACCCTCATTACCCCAGTCACTGAGTCAGTTCATCTCATCTGGGGTCTTCCTATCCTGCGCTGTTCTTCCACCCTTCCGAGACTGATGTCCTTCTCCAAGGACTGGTCCCTCCTGGCCACGTGCCCAAAGTAAGTGAGACGGAACTTCAAAATCCTAGCCTCCAAGGAACAACTTTCACCTGCTCTAGGACAGACTTGTTTGTTCCATAAACCTGACTGCATGTCTCCACTCCCACATTCTTGGTAAAGTAGAAGGTTGACAAAAAGAAGGAAACCTCCAATGACATGTATCAGCACATGGGCTGCAGCAATGGGCCCAAAAAGAGCAGCAAAACGAGAATGGAGTGGGGCTGGGTGGCGTTCTCTGTTCTAGGGTCACTGTAAACTGAGGCTGGTTGGGTCACCACTCATAAGACAATGCCACACACCTTCTTTACATTATTAAGAAGCTGTCCGATCTCCTTGTTAGGCCATAATAAGCATTTAATTCACATATATCCACCCAGTCACTTGGTGGGAGTTTTAAAGGCTACAGATAGAAATGCCACATTAAGTGATTCTGCATAGGATGCTTCGATGTAGTTGGCCTCTTCACAGGGATCTTGCTGTGGTCAGCACTGTGCTGGCCTCCTGGGACCCCAGGCTAGGGAGGGTGGAGGAAGGGGATGGCCCCTGCCTTCTTGGAGAGAGGTGACTCACATACTGGCAATGTTTGGAGGCTGTGTGCAATGCAGCTGCTGAGATCCTCAAAGAGGTGGCCCTCTGTGACCCCCAGATCTTGTCCAGTATGTAAACTCTCTTGTTTTAAGTGGAATCTGGTCAAATCCCAAAACATCTCCCTCACACAATGGGAGATGTGGCTGACAGGAAAGGGCTCTTGGCCGATGCTTTGTGGGGAGGTGATGGGAACAGGGATGGGCTGTGGTTTATTAACCCAATGGTATTCATCTCACTGGGATGTCCCTGGACCTGCTCCTGAGCCTCAGCTCCCACAGTGCCTGCTGCCCTGAGCTGGTCAACCATGAGTTCAGTCATTTCCATGAAATAGGACTCATGATCCTACTTTCTCCTGCTCTCCTGTCCTCTGAACCTCCTAAACTTGGACTGGACACCTCTCTCCCTGGTTCTCCAAAAGGAGCTGGCTTCTTTGGTCAGGGGAGGCTGTGGCCCAGACTTGGAAATTCCAGTGCTGGCCTCTCTCTGTGAGTGCCCCCTTGGAGACCTGGCCTGACTAGTTGGGGATGAGGGAGCAGAGAAGGAAAACCCCAACTCAGAGTGGGTGGGGTAGGTAGAGAGGGTAAGCAGAGACCAGGAGAGTGTGGGTCCAGTTACCTCCCTGGACCTGAGGCTTGAGTGCCTCCCTGCCTGGCTTCCAGCCAAGCATCTCCTTGGAGCCTCCCCAGACCAGTGGGAAGCTGGGGCAGGTGAGCAGGACAGAGGCTGCCCTAGAGCGGTGGCAGCGCCTCTGCAGACGGTGGAGTCCTGGGAGGGCTCACCCCTGAGGTCGGTTAGAGGACACGGAGGTGCTGGGAACCAGGGCTCGGCTTCCTGCCCTGGTGGTCAGAGACCAGAAAAGGCCAAGGCCCAAGGCCAGCCACCCTCACCACACCACCACATCAGATGTGTTCCCTGAGGAAGCTGTGCCCTGCTCTCACCCCCTCACACACACACAATAGGGTGAGGACCCTTGGTCTCAGGGCCTGGTGGGCATTTCATGCAACCCTGACCTTGGGCTTGGTGCCCAGGCAGGGACAGAGTTGGCACGATGCCAGCAGCAGGCGGATGAGGTGACGGAGATCATGCTGGACAACTTTAACAAGGTCCTGGAGCGAGACGGCAAGTTATCAGAGCTGGAGGAGCGCTCAGACCAACTCCGGATGATGGTGTGAGGCTCGGGGGATGGGGGGAGGCTGTGCATGGGGCCTGTAGGTTCTTGGGGGGCTCCTGTGAGGGTTTTGGGTTTCCTGTGGTGCTCAGCCCAGGTGCTGAGTGGGGCTCCTTAGGAAGGATGGAGGCCATAGTGTGAAGCCTGTGCCTTCCTGGAGGTGGAGGACTGACAGCCGGAAGAGCCAGGCAGAGGGCGGGAGTGGACAAATGGGAGGAGGCCTGAGGAGGCCCTGCTGGGGCAGGAGGTGTGACCACTAACTACCATCCTGTGTCTGGGGGACCCACAGAGCTCCACCTTCAACAAGACCACTGAGGCTGTGGTGAAGAAGCAGGGCAGGATGAACGCCCGCTGGCGCATCTGCCTGGGGCTGGTGGTAGGCGGCGCCCTGCTGCTCATCCTGATTGTGTTGCTGGTCTTGTTCCTCCCAAAGTCTGGTGTGGACAGTGCCTCCAGGCCGGGGGACTGACCCCAACGGGAAGTGGCCGCCCACTCTGCCAAGTGACCACCGTGAGCTTCACAGGACAGTCCCGATGTGCGCACCCCACAGCCCCTGTCACCGCGCAGCCTGGCTCGTGAAAGTGGCCACCACGGTGGCCAGCCAGGCCAGCCCGACCTGAAGCTCAGTAAAAGCTGCTGTTTGGTTAAAGGCTGTGACGTTTGTGTGTCTCTGACAGTCCTGGCTGGCTGCCTCATCCAGCCGCTGCTCAGAAAGTCACCCCTGAGTAGTGGCCTTTGTCTCTCCCTTTCTCCTTTACCCAGCCAGCACTGTACACAAGACATCTGGGGTGCAGGTGCCAGGATGCAATGGCCCCAAGTCAGACCCTTGAGCCCCCTCCTCTGAGCTTGCTTCCCCAAGAATACAATTGGAATTTCCCCTGGCATCTTGGGGATGTTCAGACAACAAAATGTCTCAATATGGCATCACAGAGAGGAAAATGCCCCAAGAAAGTGCTCAGCCCCCTTACCTTTCCACTCACTTTCTGCCCCCGGAATATTCTTCTCACTCTGTCATTTCTCCACCCTCCCTCTTCAGATTTCTATCCAATCACTCTGACAAGGCAAGTGGCAGTGAGACAGAGGGGCTTCCCAGGCCCTAGAGTGCACAACCACATGGAGCTGGCTTTGGTGGCTACATGCCATGCTCTTCAGAGCTCCAGGGCCACGCAGGCCACAGCAGGCACAATGTGCATATGTGACAGAGGACAGGGGGTGGGGGCAGAGAGCCCAGCCTGCCTGGGGACACCAGCTCACTCCCTCACATGTGATAGGGACCCAGGGTCAAGTGTGCAGCATAAGCTGATACTTCGCTGGAAGGAGCGAGGCGCCTGACAGGGGAAAATGACACCCCCACAGAACTGTGTGGACATTCACAGCTCCCAGGGCTTCATCACTTTTGCAGGGTACATCCCATTTCCTGTGATAGGAAAGGAGGTTCTCATGACCCAAGAGGTTTGAGCTCCCCGCAGGAGGACAGCATGTTTTGAAAATCAGAGAAGGGTCAGAATCAGCACAATATGGTGACACAGTCACTGCAGCAACGGGCATAAGACAGCAGAGACTGTGGGGGTAGCACAGGACAGGCGGAGGTGGGGAGGCGCATTCTTTTGTGTATTAGTTCTCAGTGAGTCAGAGCCAACTTCCTAGTTCGAAACAACAACAGAACAAACCTAAAGCTGGTGGCTGACACCTACTTGGCTGTGCCACAGAAGAAAAAGCTGGTGAACTTCTCAGTAAAGTTACCCAAAGCCCAGTACTGTGGAGCCAATTCCGACACCAATGGGATTCTGAGGCTGTGAGTAAATCTTGATAGAAGAGACTGCTCTTCTGTCTCCTACAGAACAAACTACGGGTTTGGATTTTTAATTTTATTGATTTGTATGTGGCTCAATGACAAGAAGACAGATTTTCAGCACTGAACCAATTGGCAGCATTAGGATGGATGGTGAAGAGATTCAGATTGTTCACAGCTTTAGTTTGCTTGGCTCCATAGTCAACACTCTTAGCACCAGTAGCCAGGAAATAAAAAAACGTAGTGCCATGGGAAAGTCTGCTGTTAAGGATCTCTCCAAAGTACTGAAGAGCAATGGTGTCTCTCTGGAGACTAAGGTGCGTCTGATACAGGCCATGGTCTTTGCAATCACTTGTTATGCATCAGAGAGTTGGACAATGACCAAGGAGGATAGAAGGAGAATTAATGCCTTTGAGCTGTGGTGCTGGAGAAGAGTATTGAGAGTACCATGGACTGCTAGGAAAACAAACAGATTCATCCTGGAGAGGATGAAACTAGGTGGCTCCTTGGAGGCAAGGATTCTGAGGCTTTGTCTAACTACTTTGGACATGTTGTAAGGAGGGTCAGGTCCTTGGAGAGGGACATCATGCTTGGTAGGGTGGACGGACGGCACAGAAGGGGAAGGCCCTCTCTGAGGTGGATTGATTCAGTGACTGGGGTAATCGGGATGGGAGTGTCAGAGACAGTGTGATTGGCCCAGGACAGAGCAGAGTTTAGGGCTGTTGTACATAGGGTCGCTATGAGTTGCAAGCAACTCGATGGCACATAACATCAGACCATGTGTTTGAACTACTACTTTTTTGTTAGCAGTCCAAGACTTTATGTATTACACCACCAGAGCTGCTTTTATTAAAAATCACAGCCTAGAAAACCTATGGAGTTTGACCCTGTAGCATAAAGGGTCACCTGGAGTCACATTGCTGTCAGTCTGCTGAACCACGGTGGCATGCATGGTGCAGGGCTGCTGGAAGCTACGTCACCAGGATTTCAAATACCAGCAGGGGCATGCACTGTGGAGAGGCTTCAGGGGAGCTTCCAGAGGCATACAGACAATGAAGCAGGACTGGCTGTTCACTTATGAAACGGAATGCCTTTGAAATCTTATGAATAACATAGGAACACTGTTGGATCTAAAGGTGTTTCTTAGGGAGCACTGGTGGGCTACTGGCAAGAAGCTGTGCTGCAATCCCGAAGGCACGTGATTTGAATTCACCAGATGATTTGCTGGAGAATGATGTGTAGTTTCCTCCTGTAACAGCCTGATTGGACTCAATGGCACACAATAATAACAAAACTAAAGTGTTACTAAAGGTATTTTTTAGAGGCAAGGATGGTGAAACTTCATCTCACATACTTTGGGCATGTTTTTAGGAGGGATCAGTACTTGTGAAAAAATGTATCATGCGGTAAAGGTAGAGAGTCAGTGAAGACCCAGAAGGAGGTGGACTGACGTAACGACTGGGACAATGGGCTTGAGCACGGTGAGATGATGAGGATGGTGCAGGACAAGGCGTTTCAGATCTGTTTTTCATAGAGTTGCTATCATCAAAGACGATTGACAACACCTCACAACATCACGAGTCACAATGCATGACAACCTATTGGTGGTTTTTTATTTTATGGGAGGGGACCCCACGTGGCACTGTAGTGACTCAGTAACAGTATGCACAGATTATGAACTGGGGCCAGATCTAGGGTTTGTATATGTAAGAAGGATCGCTCTTGGTACCAGCATCCAGGAAATGAAAAGACAAATTGCATTGGGAAAGTCTGCTGTCAGAGGCCTCTTGGAAGTACGGTAGACCAACGATGTCAGTCTGGAGACTAAGGTGCGCCTGATACAGGCCATAGTCTTTGCAATTACTTGCTATGCATCAGAGCTGGACAATGACTAGGGATGATAGAAGGAGAGTTGATGCCTTTGAGATGTGGTGCTGGAGAAGAGTACTGAATATACTATGGACTGCTAGGAGAACAAACAAGTTTTTCCTGGAGAGGGTGAAGCCAGGATGCTCCTTGGAGGCAATGATTCTGAAGCCTCATCTAACATACTTTGGACATGTTGCAAGGCAGGATAAGTCCTTGGAGAGGGACATCATGCTTGGGAGGGTGGAAGGACAGCGCAGGAGAGGTAGACCCTCGATGAGATGGATTGATTCAGTTACTGGGGTAATGGGGGTAGGTGTGTCAGAGACAATGATTGGCACAGGACAGAGCAGGGCTTGGGGCTCTTGTACATAGGGCTGCTATGAGTTGCAGGCAACTCAATGGCACACAATAATAACAATAACAACATACTAATACTCAGTCCACGGACCAAGAAGGGGAGCTCTGGTGGAGTAATCCACAGCGTGTTGCACTGTAACACATTTCACTGAAAACCAAAAGCAGTCTCTAGAAGTTGGAATCTACAAGCTGCTTTACAGGACCAAAGATGGGCAGTATCTGTCCATTAAGATTTACAGCCTCAGAAACCTGATGAAGGGTCACTATGAATTGACCGGATGGTAGTGAATTTGAGATTTTTGAGATTACTGATTTTTGTGTTGTTATGTGTTGTGGAGTTGACTGCGATCCTATGACTAGCTCCGAACCCTGCCCTATCCTGAGCTAATCTCACTGTCTCGCACACACCTACCCCATTACCATAGTTACTGTGTAAATCCATCTCACCTAGGGTTTCCTCTCATGCTCACCTCCCAACCCTTCCAAGTACACTGTCCTTCTCCAAGAGGACTGGTCTCTCCTAGCAACATGTCCAAGTAATGTGTATCACAGCTTCAAAATCCCTGCCTCCAAGGACCAATCTGGTTTTTTTTCTCTCCAGGACAGATCTATTTGTTTTCTTGGCAGTCTATGGTATGTTCAATATTCTTCCCCAGCATCAGAACTAAAGGCATCAATTCTTTCTCTGTGATCCTTAGTCGTTGTCCAGCTCTCTGATGTACAGCAAGCAATTGCAAAGACCATGGCCTAGATCAGACACACCTTAGTCTCTTGACTGACATCATTGTTCTTCAGCATTCTGGAGAGGTCCCTGATAGTAGACTTTTCCAATGTAATTTTTCTTTTGATTTCCTGACTGCGGGTGCCAAGAGTGTTGATTGTGGATCGAAACAAGATGAAATAGTTAACAGTCTTAATCTCTTCTCCATCTATCATGGTACTGCCAATTGGCCTAGTGGTAAGAACCTTGTCTTCTTGATGTTGAGCTTCAATCCATATTGAAGACTACAGTCTTTGACGTTTTACAGCAAATGCTTAAGGTCCTCCTAAGTTTCAGCAAGCAAAGTTATGTCATCTGCATAACACAGATAGCTGATGAGTCTTCCTCCAATTCTGATGCCACATTCTTCCTCATAAAATTGAGCCTCCTGGATGATCTATCCTGCATATAGATTAAAAAGGTATGGAGAGAAAATGCAGAAGCTGCAGTGTGGGGGGGCAGTCATGGACTGGAAAGAAGTTCTTCACAGACAGCAATATCCAGCTCCAGTCCAAACAACAACAACAAAAAAGTGAGCAAGAATTAAAAGATGAAGAAATGGATTTATTTACCAAATTCTACTCAGAATGGATAGGCGGTGGAAGAAACACAAATGAATTCTATAAGACTAAACCCCTGTTTTATTATAGGCTGCCAGCTGCAGATGAAGTCTTACTCCAGAAATTAAGAA